CTGCGCGTCCGGAGCCTGTGCTCTGCAACGGGAGAGGCCACGACAATGAGAGGCCCGTGTACCACAAAAAAAAAAAAAAAAAAAAAAAAAAAGTAATATATACTCAACTTATTATTATGCCCTCTAAACATTTTATGCACAACAACTAATCATATAATCATTAGAAATAAACTTGGGCAACATAACTGTACGTAATAATAGTAACTATTGTTTTTAATATGTGCCAGATATTTTGTTTGTATGGATTACTATATTACTTAAACTGCAAAGGAACCAACTTAGTAAAAACTCCTTTTTGCTAAGGCTTAGGCAACTTAATTTACCTACTATGACCTTGAAGCCAGACTTTCTTTATCCCAAGGCCAATGATATTGAGGGGGAGAAAAAGAACACAAAGAGTCATATGGCTGGAGTTCCAGTTTGGGCTAAGAAATATAGAGGTTAGGGATAGAGGTTTGGGGATCAGACAGACCTAGATTAAAATCTTTGCCATTTATCACTACTGTGATCTGTAATTTACTCAACCTCTCTGTGCTGTGTGGGGTTATTATTCGCAAGCAATAGAAACTGAGTATGGTCAATTTAAGCAGGAAAATAATTTATTGGAAAACAATCAGTCACACGAGGAGTCAATAGGACGGCTGGCAGCAGCAAACTCAGTCAAGGTCACGCCTAACCAAGATGGTAAGGATGCCTCAACCAGCAGCCACTTACACTGTGGGACCCTTCACACCACCATCCCCAGATGCTGTGTAGTCTTTTAAGAAAGACTCCACATTCCTCCTCCACATTCCTTAACCAAATATCAGTTTGCTCATCTGTAAACTGGGCCTACTAAGTGTAGTACCCTCCTCATGGGTTTCTTGTGAGCATTAAATGATATATGCATAAATCATTCAGCACAGTGCCTCACTGACTAAGCACTGGGTAAATTTCAGCTGGCCTCACTAATTTTTGTGCCTTTGAGTAAGTCACATAGCTTTTCTGTGCCCACAAGCTCATTACTGAAGACAGATGATTCCAATTATACTGTATTAGTCAGTATAAGCTAACTGCCCAAACAATCGGTCCCTCAAATCTCACTGGATTATTTCTCTTGCACTTCATTGTCCACTGAAGGTCGCTGGGATTGGAATGAGGTCCCTACTCCATGCAGGCATTCAGAGACCCGGTCAACTTCTATCTAGTGGTTCTGCCATACACCAGGGCCTTGCATCTTGTTGGCAGAAAAGGGAAGACAGAGAGCACAGAGGATCAGGGTCTTTTAGGGACCAGGCTTGGAAGTGGCACATATCACATCCTCCCATTTTCCACTGGCCAGAATACAGTCACACGGGCTTTACCTGACCACAAGAAGTCTGGGACACACCATCCAGCTATGTGTTAAAGCAGAAATGCAAACAGCATTTGGTGAAACATGAGTCTCCATCACACCTACCTAACATCCTCGGGGGTTGCTAATAAGAACACATGCGAGTGCAACTGGGAAAGCTCTGTGGAAAGCAGCCAACAAGCTACAGATGACGCTGGTGTTGATGATTAAACCAGGGAGTCCCTGTGTTATTTTCTGAAGTGCTAAAAAATACAGCAATTCCGGGGGTGTGAGAAGAAACTAAAATATAATCAGAATGTCCATCTTCCTGTAGAAGAGATGCCTGGACTCATAAGGCTTTATCTCTCCACCTGTATCTTCAAAAATGAGGAACACTAGGTAAGTAATCTCCTTTCTTTGTCCATTAGTCCAGTTCACAATGGGAATGCAGTGGAAATATTTGTTTGGAGAAAAAACAGGGGAAGAATAAAAGGGTAGAAAGCCATGCCGTTGAGGAGTGTTAACTGTCGGAGAAGAAGGCAGCCTGAGGCTGTCACTTGGTGGCCACCAGCCTCCACAGCAGTAATTTATCCCCACATGAAGACGCTGGGGAGTTAATCACAGTACTGACACATGTAACAGCTCCAAGCACTAGACTCAGCACAAAATTTAGGCTTATAAAATGAAAATAATTAGGTGCATATTTGAAATGCACCACTAAAAAGGGAGGGCAGTCCTTAGGACCACAACCACAACCGTGGACCTCTTTTCATGGCCAAGGTCAGGTTAATGCCATGCTTCTAATTTACTGAACCAACTGGGTGAGGGTGTAGAAGGCAGATGTATCCAAAGGCACTGTGTTATTTGTACCAGACAGATGCTTTTTTCACTGTTTTGAATATCCGTAATGGCCTGTCCAGAATGACAGAGAGCAAACACAGTTTGCACAGGCTCTGCTACGTGAATGTTAGCGCTTTAGAAACGCTCTAAGATGTGGCCAACTTCGGCTTAGTAGGGGATCCAGGCCAGATCTGATTCGTCCTGCTGCCTTCCTTCCAGGAATTAGCCCCTTTGTTGCCCATTCCTTTGACCCAAGGAAGATTCAACCAAAGGGAACATGGTTGGTACCCTGCAAGCAGACTGTGCTTTTAAACGAGCTCCCCCTTTATGGTATTTACTTAAAAGAGTAGTCAAGTAATTAGCTAGCAGAGCGCAATCAAACTGATCAGTCAGGCCATTCTTAGACTAGTGCAAACCTTCAGAGAGGATTTAATGACAGTTCTAAAGAACTGAACTAGGGGCTTCCAGTGCAGAGAAATAGGGACTGAGGCAGCAATGCAAGGGAGGATAGCAAACAGTGCTTAGAAAAAAAATCTTTTCATTAAAATATACAAACAGTGAAAAGAATTGTCCACATAATCAAGGCGATTCTTCATTTCCTTGTGCAATGTAGATTCCTGGCAGAGTGTGAGGGAAACTGAACTACACTGTCTCAGCTTTTCAAGTTAAGAAAATAAAATAATTATTTGTTTCCCAAATCTTCAACTTCTACTTCTGAAGGCTAAACTTAAGTTTTAAGAATCATGCACCAAAAGAAGTTACAGGTAAACCTACATTTTTTTAGTCTTGTATTCTGGATTCTTATTTATTTTCATTTTCCTAAGCTACTGTGGAAATAAAATGTAAAGGACTAGTAAGAAACACAGCTCTATTGATTACAAGCCCAGTTTATCAACGACACGCTAACACCTGTGTGCCTCAATTTTAACAACAGTGTGCCTCAATTTTTACATTTAATATACTTTTCATCGTGAAAAGTTGACAAGTACTAATCCTAATTGTTCTCCATTTTAGGAACTTCAAGTGGAAAGAGAACTGGAAAAAAATTTTTATTAGCAGAAAGTGATTGATTATAAGTGGAACTTCCCACTTCATCTTCATATTGTGACTGACAACCACCTGACAGGGTAATAGTGATACAATGTGGTCAGAGAAGACTGGGGGTTAGAAGGTGCAGTTTCCTTTTTCTAGTGTTGATTTGATTTCAGTGCTGACACAATCCTAGAGCTTACTACTCATGGGAAGCACAGACAACAGGAGTGGTTATAGTGATGATTAAGACTCCGAGAAACTGACAAATAGCCATCAATTATTTTATACTGGGTAACAAATGTGTTTTTCTTTCTGAATCCCTGATATGCATGAGGAAACAATACAAACAACAGAATGATGTATCAATATATCCACATGGTGCCTTACACAAAATGTGTAAATACAATTCTAATATGTCCTGTAATTAGTTGAAATCTGAAATGCCCTCTTTTGTTTCTCCTATTATTTGTTACTGTGTCATTTGAGAATAACTGGAGAACCGGATAAATTCTTAGGTTTGTTCATTCATGAAATATTTAAGGCATAAGTACCTGCTCATCGTAAGAAGAATCAAGTTATTTACCTACCCTGTGAGGAGATGCAATATGTTAAAATGCATGTATACAACCCCTGGAAAGAGGTTTTCTTAGGAACTGAAATTGTGAAGGCTCACACAATCTCACTTCATGGTTTAAAAAAAAAAAAATGGTGAAGCAGTTATTATGCCATAAAGTTTTACAACCACTTTTTTTAGTTTTCAGTTCTTACTTCAGGAGGTAGAATAGAAAGAAGTGAATAACGCGTCGTCAAAAAGACTGTTCCCATCACAGAAGAAATTATAGTGTAATTCAAAGTAAAAAGGTAGAGCAATTGGGCTTTTCCAAGTTGACCAGGGTTAGAGTTGATTCCTTTACTTTCAAATCCCAGTCTCACTCTGCATCAGCCTTTCCAAGGATTCGTGGTGAAGGTATCTAAACACGAACGTAACAGGGCCAAGACACGAAGCTCAGTCTAACCATTGTCGCCAGGCGGAGAAGTTCCCCGGAGGAGGAGAAAGCCCTCCGCGGTTAGACAGGCAGCCCTTCCCCCTCACTACCCCTCCCCTGGGGGACCGCGCGCCACCTCTCCGCAGCCGCAGGGCTCTGCCACCTGCGCCGGGAGCGGTTGCTGTCCCGGCTCCTAATTTTTGCCTGGGACTGCCCTACCGAGAGCAGCCCACGGCCTGGGCCAACTAACTTCTTTCCTGGTGAGAAGATGGATTCTTCGTTGTTTCCCCGCCCATGCCTGGCGCCCACCCGCCCATCCACCCACCACAACCGTCGCGCGCACCCTACTGCTGACCCGGGGTCACGCGCGCACACACCCTATTTCTCCTCCCCGGGCCACGCGCGCACGCGCGCACACACACACCTCGGGCGTTCCAAAGTAGAGTCCTAAGCCGCTGACCTCCCTTCCCAGCACCCAGATGTTGCGACCCGCGTGAAGTAGGTGCGAGAAACAGCCCACTTGGAGCGGGAGGCAGTGAGGAAGAAGAGATGCCGGTTTCAGAGCTGGCCCCGCTGGATGCCGACTTCAGAGTACCTAAGAGGGTGCACAGAAGAGCACTGGGGCTTCCCCAGGGTTCCCGCGGACCACTGCTTCTCCGCACCACCTGCCTGAGGCGAGAGGACCAAGTCTCCAACACCCCCTCCCCTACCTCGTTGGAGGGCGGGAAAACTGCAGGGAGCCGCCCCCCGAGGCGCGGTGGGATCCGCGCAGCCCGGAGCCCCTCCCTCCAACCCGCGGAGCTTCCTCGCCGCGCAGAGGAGCTAGCACGCGCCCCGCCCCCTCCCGGTCTGGCCAATGGGCGCCCGGGCCGCGCACAGTGTGGCCCCGCCTCCGCCAGGGAAACTTGAAGCAGGAGAAAAGTTTGTACAGAGGCTGGAAGGGCAAGAGCGGAGCTCCAAACAGGCAGCGCGAGAGGAAGATGAACGGCCCCAGGTCAGAGCCTCAGGCCGAGTGGACCTCAAGCCGCCCCCAGGGCGCCAAAAGCGGCCTCAGCTGCAGCCGCCAGCCCCGGTAGCCGCCCGCGCTGCCTTGGGCTGGGAAGGAAGGCGGCCCGAGCCGGGGATCGAGGCTCGGTGCCACCTGCGCGCGCGGCAGTACACCTGAGCGCCGTCCGTCCGCGGACGAGACCCGCGGGCTTCGCAAAGCTTGGATCGTCTTTGAAGAAACGAAGGAAAGGAGAAAGAAAAAAAAATCCAAGATCAGGCTTCACTGACCCATTTCGCTGTCCTTCTGGTTCTCCAAGTTTTTGAAAGCTGACCGCTCTGACCCCTGTACCGGAAAATTGGCAGCCACCGAGAGCAGGCTCTGAGAAGGCAAAGGCTTGGTAAGCTCCACACTGAGCGGGGCAAGGCTGAGGGCAGGGTGAAGGCGTGTCCAGGATATCCGAGGCTTGACCCTGGGGGCTTACGTGGCTGCCACCTCCGCGGCTACCACAGGTGAGATAGGGTTGGAGGCACTGGGCAGAGAGCGGTGGGCGGGCGCCCCTTGAGCCGAGCCAGGGAGGGAAGAGCGCGCTCTCCAAATTATCTTCCGTAACCTGGTTTCAGTGAGACTTTTATTGACTCAGAATCTGTCGGGAAAACGAGCAAAACACTTTTCCCTTGAGATAAGTCTTGTTCATCTTGGCAGTGGATGAGTTGGCTTGGAGGAGGAGAGAATGGCAGTACTAACGTATAAATATTAATGCCAGTAGAGTGGTGCTGCTGGCAGGACGTATCCGGAGCCTGGAGATTTCGGTAGCCGCAGTTGGTAAGTGGCTACAATCCACAAAGTAGGATCGAGTTGCTCCCCTGGTCTCATCAGCATATTGTCTCTTGGGCGCGGGTCTGACACCTTTTTGCAAGTGGTAATTTCCGCTCACCGCGTCTTGTCTCTCTCCTACCAACAGCAGACCCAGCCTCGCGCTCCAAGGCAGTGTACCGCCGGCCACCACCATGGCCACCCCTGGAAGCAATGCATCCGCCCTGGCCTCCGACCGACTGAACAGCCCAGTGACCATCCCGGCGGTTATGTTCATATTCGGGGTGGTGGGCAACCTGGTGGCCATCGTGGTGCTGTGCAAGTCGCGCAAAGAGCAAAAGGAGACGACTTTCTACACATTGGTATGCGGGCTGGCGGTCACCGACCTGCTGGGCACGTTGCTGGTGAGCCCGGTGACCATCGCCACGTACATGAAGGGCCAGTGGCCCGGGGGCCCCGCGCTGTGCGAGTACAGCACCTTCATCCTGCTCTTCTTCGGCCTGTCGGGGCTCAGCATCATCTGTGCCATGAGTATCGAGCGCTACCTGGCCATCAACCACGCCTACTTCTACAGCCACTATGTGGACAAGCGGCTGGCGGGCCTCACGCTCTTCGCGGTCTACGCGTCCAACGTGCTCTTCTGCGCGCTGCCCAACATGGGCCTGGGCAGCTCGCGGCTGCAGTACCCGGACACCTGGTGCTTCATCGACTGGACCACCAATGTGACGGCGCACGCCGCCTTCTCCTACATGTACGCGGGCTTCAGTTCCTTCCTCATTCTCGCCACCGTGCTCTGCAACGTGCTCGTGTGCGGCGCGCTGCTCCGCATGCACCGTCAGTTCATGCGCCGCACCTCGCTGGGCACCGAGCAGCACCACGCGACCGCCGCCGTGGTCCAGGCCGCCTGCCGGGGCTCCTCGGCCGCCGCCTCGCCCGCCCTGCCGCGCCTCAGCGACTTTCGCCGCCGCCGGAGCTTCCGCCGCATCGCGGGCGCCGAGATCCAGATGGTCATCTTACTCATCGCCACCTCCCTAGTGGTGCTGATCTGCTCCATCCCGCTTGTGGTGAGTGGCTGGGGCCAGGGCTCCACTCGGCCCTTTTCCTGCATCCACCTCCCTCCTCCATCTCCCGCTCCCTCCTCTTCCTCTCATTCCTTGGCCACCAACGCGTCTCCTCCAGGTAGGGGCTGGATCTGCACGGTCTGCTTCTCAGAGCAGCCCCGACCTCTTTTTAGGCCCCGTCGCTAAAGAGATGCAGCAGGTGCCTTTCCCCTACATCGCCGTTTCCTTCCCCGAAACCCGGGTTCTCTCTCTCTCTCTCTCTCTCTCTCTCTCTCTCACTCTCAATCTCTCGCTCGCTCGCTCGCGCTCTCTCTCTCTCTCTCTCTCTCACTCTCTCACTCTCTCGGGACAGCCCCTACCCCTTGATGCCTGACACTGGTCTTCAGCCTTCCGGGAACACCCGCCGCACTCTGTCAGATGCGGAGGGGAAACCGTTGTAGTGTGACTTAGCCCCGTCCTCTGCACTGTCTAGGGCAGAATCTGAAACATCAGGTGGTGATCTCTTTGGTGTACACTCCTTACAATAGTGGGGTTTTTATTTATGTCGGGTTTTTTTGGTAGCTTATGTAGAATTTTAGAGCTAGAAGAGACATTGGATGCATTTTGGTCTAGTCTAACTCCTTCATTTTACACAGGGAGTGACTTGCTTAAAATAATCCAGCAGAGCTAGTCTATCAAGCTGAACTCCCTGCTCTTTACCATGGTGAGAAGCACATCGCAGTGCACATGTGGCCCTACACAGGCATGGTCCAGACTCGGGTTCCGTCATTCTCTCTAGGGGCCAGGAAAGCAAGGTTTCTCAGGGGGCATATTAAGGGCAGGCTGATGTACATGGGGTATTGAATTCGAATCATCAGCTGTGAGAGGTACAGTGCCTTTCTAGAGAAATGGGGTTTTAGAGATGGCCATCTTATTTATTGCCAAGCCAAAGCCGTGCAGCTTGAAATGAACCTCAGACCCTTCTGACTCCAAACCCTGCCTCTCTTCTATTACGTCATGTCTCCCTCCGAGAACGCTTGTAATGTTGGCCTTTGCAGCAGTGCGTGTATTTGAGTTTTGGTACACTTTATTTTCAGGACACCACCTTCTTTTAAATTGCCTTTGGATTAACTTTCAAAGTGTTTTAAAATGTCATAAGCCGGAAGGTTGAAAGCCTACCTAGTTCTCCTCTGTTTGCACTAGAAACCCATGGGCAGATGCACATACGACTGTATCTAGAGTTTCTCTTGAAAGCAACTAGTTCTGAGTTTTTCCATCTCTCAAAACACCTCATTCCTGGAAATTCTAAACTATCAACTCAAAAAAGTTTGGGTTTTTTTTTATGCTGACTGGGAGCAAAAGAAAATAAATGTAACAGCTTATTATTCCTTCTTTTCCCTTATTAATGCCGTTTGGGGGATCTTTAATATAAAAATATTATATCTCTCGTAAAATTGACTGTAAATGGAAGGAACTTCGAAGTGGCTGAGAGCCAGCATACAGTAGCTTCTTGCCAATTTGTATAAACAGAAGTAAATATAATTGGCCAGAAGGGCCTTTAAACCATTGCAGGACCCAGTATAATTTACAGAATTGATCGAGCCACATAAATATATTTTACTGTCTGTAATGGCAACTCAGAATAAAGTGAGATTTTGGAAGAAACAGCTCTGCTCCTGCTGGGGCTTCCTTCTGTGGCCTCTGCGTTATGTTTTACAGAAGAGTAAATGCCAAAGTGAGTTGTTGTTGTTTGCAGAACATGCACTTGAAGGAACTGACAAATTAGAGCCAGAAGCTTAGCGACATGCACATACTTTTAAAATGTGTTTTGCTTGGAGATAAGCATGTGAAGCTGTTGATTACCGCACAGTCACAGATGAATTGTTTTCTTCAAGCCTCTTATGAGCTGAAATAGCAGATCTGACCCAATGGTGCAGGGCCATTTATCACAAAGCCTTTGACATTATTTGAGAAGTAAGAGGCAAGAAATTATAGGAGCTGTATTTGTGGTTTGCAAATTAACCACATTTTAACTAACAGGGACTATACTCTATATAAAGTCAGTATCAAGTAGTAGATATTAAGTCATTTTACCCTGAAAATTGACAATGGCTCAGCTGAGAAGTAATCACATGGACATACCTTTGTAAGGAATAAGGAATCGTACAAGTAATGGCAGCTTCAGTTTTTAGCCTTTAGTTTTGGCCACTAAAATCTAATTTCAGAATCAATTTAATTGTAAATTAATGATAAGAACGGTGTCATTGTACTACTCACCCAGCCACAGTTTAGCAATTACTGAAAGAATTAAAAGGGAAACATCCACAACTGTAACCTTCCTTGGGTTATTTTTACAACTTTCTTGTTTTTCATGTTTCTCTTATTCATATTGTAATTTAAGTTGAAAGTTTCTGAACTTTGACATTTAAAATAGTCAGATCTATCTTCAGTTCCAAGGAAACTAATGAAGCATCTCTTTTAACTTTATCAAATAAAGTTGGTCACTAATCCTATCTGAGGCAAATCAAACCCTTCGAAACATTTAAAATGCTTTGGAAATAATAGAGCAAATACAGTTTATGTGCAGTTTAGCAAAGCGTGACTCACAACATATAAGGAAAACAAGCAGTCACTGCAAAGGACCCACATTTTTTATCTTTTGGACACCAGGGAAGGAAAAATTACAGTGGCTCTTAGAGGGCAGTTGGTATTGAATTTAGGATCAAAAGTAAATTTTAATTTGTTATCCAAAATATATATGTTGCATAAATAGAACTTGGAATGGAAATTTGAGAAAGGTTGGAAAATTAGTTGTGGATATATAAGGAACTGTGCTGAAGTTGCAAAATTTTCTAAAGCGAGTCATAAACAATGAACAGAAAAGATGTAAATACAATGGACAGGGAACATTACATGACAAGGTTTTGTGGGAAGGCGGCGGTTGTCATTTTGTCTATTCTATTTATAACCAGGCTCTGGTTTTTAAAATACAAGAGAAGCTAAAGAAATGAAAGAATCTATGCTTAAGATAATAAAAGGGATTGAATTCTTTAGAAATATGTGAGACAGCCTCCTAAGGTCCTGGTGTTAAATGCTGCAGCTGGATCAACGTCTGGTGCCTAATTTTGCAGTTACTAATGTTACGATAATGATTATAATCCAATCTTTTGCCTCAGGGCTAAACAGTTACACTGTAGGATTTGAAAAGGCATTTTCCCCCCATGCACAGGCAAGCCATGGCAGTATTTATTGCTTACTCGTTTCTTTTATTTTCTTCTTACTTTGAAGTAGCAAGCATTCATCTCTGTTAAGGGCAGAATGGCCAATTTGATTCATCTTCTGCCTGGGACAGGTGAAACTTAGGTCTTCAGGAAAATAGCTT